AAAAACAAAAACAAAAAACCATGCCCCAAAGTAGAAACTCTAAAATCCAAATTCTCTGACCAAATCATATTGACACAAGAAATGAAGGACACACACACAAAACTCACTGACCATTCCGACTCATAATGACAAAAACAAATGAAAAAAACAAACAAAAGAATATGAAAAACAATTCTTCCAAATAACTCATGTTAACATGACCTAGCTGAGATTTGGACAATTAAGAAATAACGTCTACACATGATGCAGCCAAAGTATTACTAGAGCAGTGTTCTTGCTCCAATCCAGATGCCACGTTGTCCCATTTCTCACTCCCTGCCAGCAAGTCGGTGCTGACTCAGCAACCCCAGAGCACAGGGTAGAAGGGACCCTGCGGGTTCATGAGACTGCAACTCTTGAGGGAGTAGAAAGCCCCGGCTTGTTCCCTTGGTGCTGACCCTGCAGTTCTCAAACTGCTGACCCTGCAGTTCGCAGCCCAGGGGGTGACCACTACACCACCAGGGCTCTTCCAATTAGTTCCCACCAGTGATTAACTGTCAGTGCATACTGCTTGTACATTAGAGCAATTGGAGAAGGCACAAGTTGAAAATCAATCTTTTGACGCCTTCATCTTCTGCATTAGGGCAGTAATTCCCAAAGTGGGCGATGCTGCCCCTGGTGAGGGTGTTGGTAACGTGCAGACCTGGCTTACAGGCTATCGCACAAACAATTTTCATTTCTAAGGGGGCCGAGTAATTTTTTTTCTGAAAAGGGGATGGCAAGCCAAATAAGATCAGCAACTTACGCACTGGAGGGAAAGGTGTCATCTTAAGCTATATTTATCAGACAACACCGCTGCACCCGCTCTCTGACGCTGAAAGCTCTGCGGGTCAGTGTTTGAAATACGAGCAGGGTCGCCATGGTGGACAGGTTTCAGCAGAACTCCCAGCGCAAGAGGGGACTGGGAAGAAGGACTAGACTGTTCGCTTCTGAGAAGTGGGCCGCTGAGAGCCTCACGGAACAGTCAGGTATCGTTCAGGAAGAGGAAGGCGCCTAAAACAGGGCTAGGGAAGCGGTGTCTCCTCAAAGGAGAGTTCACTTGATGACGCGGGTGGCGTGACGTCTTCAGGACTTCGACTTGCTGATGGGCACGCCCAAAATGGGGAGGAACAGTTGCAAACACTCCTTAATAATCGGAGGGCAGAATGCATGAAGCATGCATGACTCTAGGAAAATGGATAGTTGCCCAAAATAAAGTGAAACGCACCAGCCTCAATATCCTAGGCAGGAGTGACTGGAGCCGGGCTAGTCCTGGTCATTTTGAGTCGAATAATCGCATAGCTCACAATGCCAAAAAAATAAAACAGAACCCAAACACACTGCCATCTGTTCGATTCAGACTCATGGTTCTGCCCTGTGGGGCAGGGGCTCCCTCCGTAATAGTCCTAGCAACAGACAGAAAGATTCCCGGGGCCGCCGGACTCCCGGCAGAGGAAGCCCCGGGCCCCGGCTCTGCCAATTCGGGCTCTACTGCAGGGTCGGCCGGACCAGCGTCTCCCTTTCGCTCAGTGACAGGGGACGGGGCTGGCCGTGCCGCAGAGAGGCGGGCTCGGAGGGGAAGGGGCTGCAGCCCGGTTACCTAGGGAGGGGCCCCGCCGCGGGGTCCTGGGGGGCGGGCTGGCCGTGCGCCTCTTCGGGGCTTCGGGCTTCCGGCGGCGCGGGCCCATGGCGGGTCCCGGAGCGGTCCCGGAGCCAGGCGCCCGGGCCCCTCTCCTCCGGGCGCTCGCTCCTGGCGGGACTTTGGGGGCGCAAGGCTGGCGCCAAGGGGGGCGCCGGCCGCGTGCCTCGGAAAGGGTGGGCCCCGGCCGTAGAGTCGGTCCTGGTTCCAATCGTTCACACGACCCGCTCGTCTGCCGGCATTTTTTAAAAGCCAAATTCAGCGACTCCCAGTGGCTGGCTCTGGAACGCCCACAGCGTAGCGTTACGGCGCAGAGAGCCAATGGGAGCGCCGACCTATAATGACGCAGGGCGGTGGTGATAGGAGGAGAACTGAGATCGACGTGAAACGGACCAACCGACACTTGGAAATATGAAAGAGGGCGGGGAATCTCATCCGCTTGCTCCGCTCTCAGGGACCTTAGCACTTGCTCGCTGTGCTTGCTGGTCGAACTGGTTTTGCTCAAGGGAGATGATTCATTTGTGGAATGTTTCTCGATATAAATTACGTTCCTTAAGCATGTTATGGCTGGTTCTGTAAGCCCTAGGAGGGATTTTTTCCAGAGAGGAAAAAGACGCACAGGCAATATGGCCTCCTGTCGGGCCCAGGGCCCTTTTGTGAGGGCGGCGCAAAGAGGACTCAGAAGCCAGTTGAACTGCATGCGTTTTATTGATCATTAGGGTTCAGGGGACATTCGAGGCTCTGGAGATGAGTTCCAGGCGGGGGCAGGCCGCCTCACTAGCCTTTGATGAAACTTTCATGCCTTTAGTGCGGGTCTTCCGTTCTGGGCGGCCTCACCCTGTTCTGTAACAGATAATATTCAATCCATGTCTTAGAAAAAAAAGAACTTTAATTTTCCACGTTTTGCTTTCTTGCATTTTCTAAATGACCTATAATTAGAGGGGCAATTAATTTTAAAAATCAGATTTCCATTCCATCTTAAACAGTGTTTAAGGTCTTTTGAAATCAGGGAGGTCAGTCCTGAACTTCCCCTTGTGGTGGGGCAAATTACTGAATTTCTCTATGCTTCAGCGTTCTCATCTGTAAAGGGCGGGTAATAATTGGCTGTTGGGTAAGCGTTGGACTATTACCCTGCTAACCGCAAGGTCGGAGGTTCAAAGGCGCCAGCTACTCCTCCACTGTCTGCTCCAGTACAGATGATAGCCTATATAGTCTTTATGATTTGGAATAGACTCCGTGGCAGTGGGTTTGGTTTCAGGTAAAGGTATTTTGAGAGTGTGGAATAATGTGGGAGGGGAAAAATGGTATTAGGTCCAAGGCTACAGCTTCGTATTATTACTATTGCTAAATTCGGCTGCAAGGTCAGATCTAACATTACTTGATTCTATGACTACACAACTTCTTTGGTGGGGCCGGAGGTAGGAGGACAGGACATTAGATATACAGGACAGTATAATATCTACAACTCAGAAGTACCATTCTGCCCTCTCAGCTAGGGTCAAGCTGCCACTAATCAAGTGATGTGATTTTTCAGATAACACTCCCCCTCGGCCCCCTGGGTGGCTGCAGGGAGCAGAGGGAGACTCTAACCATGGGGAGGAAGAGCAACAACTAGTAAAGCAACCCTTCCTACCCGTGATTAGGAGCCATCGGGGCTACTTGAATTCTCTTGCTTTTTTTAAATTAACTCTAGGCAACCTAGGTGGTTTGTGATAGGCTTCTAACCAAAAACACAACACCTTACACACTCAACTGCCATCGAGTTGATGGGTCCCTACAGGAGAGGGTGGAATTGCCCCTGTGGGAAAGGTTGGCTGTTTCCACCCACCCAGTGGCTCTGAGGAAGAAAAGGCCTGGGGATCTGCCCCTGGGAAATCCAGGCAAACCCATTGCTGCCCATTTGCTCCGGACTCATCGCAACTCTACAGGATGGACTAGAACTATTGCCCCTGTGTTTCCGAGGCTGAAGCTTTGGGAACCACCGACCTTTTTGTTAGCAGCGGGTGCTTCACCTCTACACCACCAGGGCTCCTTCTGAATGGATTACAGCCTAAAAAACCATATGGGGCAATTCTACTGCATAACACATCCTAATTTGAAAGACACCCAAGGGAAAAGGTCGTAGAGTTGGACCAGCTTACGTGGTTGGTGAAAGATGAACGATTGGTGGTGTCATCCGATGCCTGGTTAGGACGAGTCTAGAATTGTAAGTGGAATGATAATCAGATTTGATACATCTATTAGAAGCTTATTACATCACTGGCCCATGCTAGGTGTGAAATGGAAAATGCTCTAGGGGTAAGGTCTGGGTTTCTCACTCTCTTCTGTAGTCCCAGTGACGTACTCATGGTAATGATTTGAATACGTCAATGACTAAATAGTCTCCCTGTGGGGCCAGTCTCCACTCTGTTAGATCTTATTTCCCACTCGGTCTTGACACACAAGAATTTCATCTCTGACAGTAACTCTTACCCGAATTTTAATTGAATTATCTGGGTTTCAGGCATCCAAGGAGGAGGAGACACAAGAAGGAGAGAGAGAGAAACCATGGTTAGTTTAATATTTTGCATCAATCCGTGCACAAAAATGAGCTTTCTTAAGAAGCTCAAGATTTCATTGACTAAAAAGTATCTTAGCACCACTTCCTCCATTGACAAATGACTTATTTACCTTTTACAGGGTAAGCCCTCAAGTGTTCACGGATAAACAGACAGCTATCTCAGTAGCATACACATATTTACGTGGTGTCATAGTAAGATAAAGGGCTTTGGTGGCACTGTGGGGGGAGCATTGGCTTGTCAAAACCACCAGCTGCTCTACAGGAGAAAGGTGTGGCTGATGAATCCCATAAAGATCTAGAGGGTCACTATGAGTCGGAAGGAACTCGATGGCAGTGCTTGGGTTTCTTCCTTTGGGCATATTGATATACTTATAAGGAAACGGGCATCCATGCATTTATACTTACATACCTTATGCATCCATGGGCAGTCTTTTTGTATTTTGAACGAAATTTTCCCCAGCTTCCATAAAAGGGCTTATATTTCAGTAACGAAAACCATACAGAGTCCAGTTTTATGAAGTCAGAAACACAGGTGTGTATCAAAGAGACTAACTGAAAGTCCCAGGTACGGAATTTTGGATCTTCTGCTTTGGGTATATTTATTGTGGGTTAGGAAGGTTACCAGCTTGTAGCTCATGTTTGGGTGAGACCCTGGGTCTTTCTAATTGGAGAACCAACTCAGGTCGGTAGCCAGTGAAAAACCACTGGTTTCTAACACCGCTGGTCTGACCTTCAGGACTCCGTGCAGTTGGCCATGACTGGTGAATGGACAGCAGCAGGACAAGGGGACCTGATGGTTTTGCACTGTTGCAAGTGCCCTGGGACTACCTGGCGTGTCTCAGATCTTCAGTAGTCCTGGGGGAAGAGTGACGGGGCCTGGGGCTTTCTTCAGGGCTGTTCAGTTTCCCTGTGCATGGCCCTCCTCTCCCTGCATTTCCCCCATCTACAGAGCATAGACCTCCTGCCAGGAGAAACTTAATACTACAACCGCCTACTGCCCAGGCGGGGACACAAAGAGACTAGCATCTGCCCAGGAAACAGAGCCATTCTGCAAGGTTCTTCCAAAGTCCTAGGAGGGAGGGTGTCATCTACCCTGAGGAGAGCATTCCAGGGACCTCTCATTTATTCACAAATAGCAATCCTCTGAAGACAGATTGCCTCAAGATTTTGATGAGAAACCTCACCTCTGTTATCAGCCCCCCTCCCCCTTTCCTTCCACCAGGGTGCTCAACTACAGAGTCCTGAGAGGGAGAACACAAAAATAACTCACTGCCGTCAAGTCGATTCTGATGCCTGATGACTTCCGTAGGACAGAGTAGAACAGCCCCTGTGGGTTTCTGAGGCTGTGACTATTTATGGGAGCAGCCTTGTCTTTGACGGCACACCATTAACACTACTGTAGGGAAAGGTGTCCCTTGCCACTGAGGACATAAACTAATACAATCCCTGTCAAGAGCAATTCGGCAATAGCTATCCATCAACACACATTCATTTACTCTTTAATGCAGTAACCCTATTCCTGGGAATCGATCCGCTAGCTATCCCTGTACACGGACAAGATGATGTCCATGTGGTTTGTAACTGTAAACCCAAGGAAACAGCCCATGCTTGAGTCTACCAATAGGTGAATGTGGCTACATGATGGAATACTATGCAGCAGTGAAAAAAGAATGAGAACGGAGTGTGTAGTCCATATCATGGATGAGTCTCTAGGATATTTTTTAAATACAAAAAAAAGACATAGAAGAGTATATAAACTATACAACCTTG